GGGAGGAGCGGCGGAGGGGGGAGGAGCAGCGGAGGGGGAGGACTGGAGGAGGAGCCGTGGAGCGGAGAGGAGCCGTGGAAGGGGGAGAAGCAGAGGCAACTGACGTGCAGTTGCCTCCACTTATGCGTATGACTTCCAAAAACATAGTTTTCCTTGTGCAAAGAAAATCTGCAATTTGGATGTATTGGCAATAACATGTTGTTTGGTTTTTTATGTTCCATCTGTCTCGTTGCTTGACAAAAAATATAGGTTTATGCCCAAATGTTTATGACAACGGCCAATGCATGTCCTATGTGACATCCTTAAAACCCTTTTTTTTTAAAATCAACGTAAAGTTTTTGACTCGAGTCCAATTTTCACGAAATGTCTACTTTTCACGAAGTGCATGTTGAACATGGAAATATACAAATACAGTGTGTGTGTGTGTGTGTGTGTGTGTCTGTGTGCCTGTGGGGGGTGGGTCCGGTGGGGGGGCAACCCCCCCGCCCCCACCAATCAATCAATCAATCAATCATTCAATCAACGGAAAAAAAAAGAAGCAAAATCGAATGAATCTTCCGCTAGAACATGGAAATATACAATCCTACCTGTGTGTGTGTGTGTGTGTGCGCCTGTGGGGCCAATCAATCAATCAATCAATCAATCAACGAAAAAAAAAATAAGCGCTGTTTTTTTTTATTTTTATTTTTTTGAAATACCTTGACTCACCCAAACCTCCCCACCCAAAAATTAGTCTTTTTTTTATTTTTCTTTGTTTGAGAGGGTGATGCTGGGGTTGCTCCGCCCCATGGCGCTTCCCAAATCCCAAACCCCCCTTCCCACTGGCTGCCATGCGGCCGCAAAGTTGTGCGGCTGCGCGGACACGTCCGCGGGGTCGCGGCCTAGACCGCGGTCGCGGAGTTGTCCGCGGATGGCCGCCGCCGAGGGGGATTCGTAGGACAGGAATAGAGACAGATGTATTTGTTGTCATTGGTTTGTTTGTTTTGTTTTGTTTTGTTTTGTTTTGTTTTGTTTTGTTTTTGGATATGCGCCATAATCATTGGACGAGATGTGGTTCGTTTTTATTCTTTTTTTTTGTGCTTTTTTTTTTTTTTTTTTTTTTTTAAAAAAAATCCCCCGCCAGTGTTAGTGGTGCTGATAAGAGCAGACACCAGTAGCACCTAGGGAGAGGCTCCATCTATTGGTGGGGAGCATCACCTGCTGGAAAGCGGGTCCAGTGTCCCTTATACAGGCTGAAATTGAAGTGCATCAGAAAACAAATGTGGGATGTTCCTGCCAGCATTGATTACCCTGGGATCCAGGGGATTGACTGAGCAGTTAAGCTCCGTGCTTCCTCACCCCTGTTTGGCTATCTGTCCGCTGAGGATCGAAGGGCAGGGGCCAGGCGGGACCACTGGGGGGCAGCATTAGGGTAATTCTTTTCCTGTCCCCTCGATTCTTATCTCTCTACCGTCCGCAATCTCAGACCTTTAGAGCTTGACTTCCAATGCCAAGGGGTGGGAGGAAAGGGATCTGGGAAATACTCAGGGTCACGCATAGGAATGCTGTGGTCATTGTTGTCCAATACTTGAAGATGAGACGGTAGTCCCGTGGAACTGGTACCTGCTGGTCTTCTTCTTGTCTCTGTCCCTCTCTCTCGTTGTTGCCCGACCACTGTACCCTGGCCACCCATCCTTCCCTTGGTCCGCCCAGCCATTCATTGGCAAATCTGGAGATTCTTTCTGATATGTCTTTTAGACTGTGAGAGAAAGCCAGCACCTGTTTTGTTTCCTGCCACTTCTGCATAATCGCGAGTTGGAAGTGGCTCTTGAACTGTTCCTTCCTTTCCTCCCCTTCAACTCTTCTCTAGCCATTGCACAGCGCTGCCACCATAGGACCCATAGTATCGTCCTCCTGGCCAGAGCGAACATGTTCCTTGCATAATCCGTGTTTTGCAGGGCCGGGTAATAACCCAACAGGATCGCTCTCCAATCCCATGGCCATGGTTGATCAGGAACCATCTGCCTCCACACCCTCTCCCACCATCTCCACTTGTCGCTTTTGGATGACCATGATCCATGTTCGGACCTTTGACATTTGTAAACTTGTGCTTCTTCACGACTCGATACGCGTTTGCATCTCCATTGTGAGTGACATTGGATGTTTGGACTATGTTTGATGTATGACTGAATGCATGCTCTATTCCACCTAAAACACCATGACTCACCAGTTCTCACCCTGCCCCACAACGCATCCCAACACCCCGCACCCCCCCCACCCTTCCCCTATTAACCCCAACCCCACGACCCCGCCTATATTAAAAAAAAAAAACAAAGCCACCAACCTTACCCCACACCCACCGTCCCCCACAACCCTTGTTAAGTAAAACCCCGCAATGAACCCCAACCCCACCTGTATGAAATAAAACCACATACCGCCCCCTATTGACCCCCCCCCCCCCCCCCCCATTAAAAAAAGATACTTAAAGCACCCCCCCTAATGACGCCAGCAACCCCACCAGTTAAACCCACCCCCACGGGCCCACGCCCCACCCCCCGCCCACCGCCCCCCACAACCCTTCTCAAATAAAACCCCGCAATGAACCCCACCCCCCACCCGTATTAAATACAACCACAT